GAAAATCCTGTAAACAATTCAAAAGACAACAGCCAAAGGAACTGACATTACAACACATGAATCAATAAATACAAGAATAATGAAGATTATTGTTTACATTTTTTGATTTTGCTTTCTCAGTTTTCTTAACAGTAGTCTCTGTCAACAGCAAATGTAAGTCCTATCTTCCTCCTAATATCTTTCTAACGTATATTATGTGTATTTTAATATTTGAGCTGTGTAACTATACAATTCATTCATTCATTCATTAATGTATTCGTTCAGTTAGGGTTAGGGTTAATGAAAACTGATGCAATTTGCAAAACAACAGCTTGATTTTTACTAAAAGAGTAAGCTGAAGAACCTTTGTCCTCTTGAAATGTCATCGTGAACATGACCAGAATTTTCTTTTGCTGTAAGGGTATTTTCATAACATGCACCAGAGCATTACTGCCCTCTTGTGTAAACAGGATATATTGAATATTTGAAACTAGTATTGCCGGTGTAAATAGGACTGTTATATGGTATTTAAATGGCTTTGCATTTCTTCTTAATATATGAAATTATAGATAAAAAGCGAGTATGTATGATAATCTGGTATTTAGAGCTGCATTTAGTTTGTACAGTTAGCAACAGAAGAGGTATGGAATTATTTTTGTGCTAAACTCCACATTGACATTAATTCGAGAAATCGAGACATGAGATCATCAGCCCAACACGAAAGATGACTGACTGACAGACAGGCAGTTAAAACGATCAAGGATGGAGAGGCTGACATTGATAGACAGACAGTCCGGCAGAGAGACGTTCAGGGTCAGAACGCAGAACGTCAGGATATTAGAGGTAATGCTCTGTAATAGCAGATACGCAGTGTCTTAGAAAGTGACAAATAGGCAGACATACCGAGGCAGCCAAGCTCTTAGCATTGGCTGCACATACTGTATTCAATCAATCATTTATTAAAGTGGTAACCATCTGAGATCACAGCAGAACACTGTGTCCAGTGCTGTGATGTTATCTCCTTTTATTTCCTGTTGGTGAGGGCTGATCTCCTGTAGGTGGAGGGGCTTTATTTCTGAGGATGTTTCTTTATTTGCATTAGTTTTGGGACATTTGTTTCTTTATTTTCTTTGCTTTGGAGTTGCAGAACGTTTCTCCTAATGTAATGTTTTGGGCTGTTGCAGCGTGTTTGCACAGGTTGGACAACGTATGTGCACGCAGTAATGATATGGTGCCTGGAAAAGTAAAACTACTATTTTTTAATGCTTCTTTTCTTTTGAATCTCCTGACATGCAAAATGGCCGTAGTATTTGCACATTGCCACTTAACTTCTGCTGCTAGACTTGTAAGTAAGTGAGTAAAGATAATAATTAAGGTAAGGTAAGATTAGACACAAATATGTTTGCAATATTCACCACTGACTACATGGTGAGACAGACATATTTATGCTAATTATTCCTTTGCTTTAATCCATGCACACATCGTGATCAGATTTAGAAGTAGTATACGCAATGCTAAATGAAAAATAAGTACACATTTACTCTGACATTAACTTTATGCAGCGTCTAAAACTGGGTGCTAGCATATATATAATTGAGAGTTTTGTTAAGATGAATATAACATTGGATGGAAACATGTAGTGTAATTGGACAGTCGTGCATAATCAGACATCCAGTCATCTTAATTCTAAGAGTGGCACCAATGTAGACTTTATTCTCAGGCCTTATTACCATACAGTAACTATAGTACCAAGAAATAAATAGTGTGTAATACTACGGTAGCACATTGAAAAGGACTCACATTAACATGATACAGGTATAGTTTACACCATTACTGAATGGGTATATTAAAATGTCAGATGTTATACTCCATGCACATGCATGACAGTTGGTCCGCATGTCCTCTTAGTTTTCAAAGTATAACATCAGGTCACATTGATTTGGCATATAACTACTATATTCCACTCATCAAGTATAGGTGAAGTGTTAATCCACGATGAGCTGGTTCTATAAACTCATACAACAGATGACAATTCATAACAACTACTGTTTCACTTGTTAACAAGATGTCTTAAAGTATTTGCCACATTTTAGAATAGTTTTGGCCTTATTTAAGCAGACATAAAATCTCAAGGAAATGTTCAGCACTGTTAGCCATGATCGCACAAAATTAAATAATGTTCCCCCTATCCTGTAAGTAAAACAGTCCAGCAGCTAAACTGTAAAAGTGGACACTTCCACGTTGATACAGAAACATGTTTCAGACACATTCATTTTTCTTGTAGTTTGTCCAGTCGAAAAACTGCCTCCTTATGTTTAGCAGTAATAGAAATGTCAACAGTTCTCTCTGTGTGTGTGAATAGTATTCAGCTTGGAAGGAACACGACCCCCTGGACTCCAAAACCTTTTAAACGATGCAACAAACAGGGTCAGTTGACAGAGAAAGTCCTGCACCTGCCAGTGGACTGTGAGTTTTAATGGTGGCACAGGTATGTTTGCTGCTAGCCGTCTAGAGGTTTTCCCAGGTACACCATGGTGACCTCAGTGTTGCCGTACACTGCAGAGACAGCGGGGAACAGGCAGGCTTTGGGCAGTCCACGAAACGCTATTCCAAGAAACTCAAAACCCCTCTCGAAGGCTAGCGTCTTGTCATCCATGTCTAGAATCACTCGTATTCTCTCTCCAATCTGCGGACAAACACAAATACACATTACAGGGTTACAAAAATGGCAAATAATAAATACATGAATGATTCCACTCTATTCATAGACCTACAATCTGAAGAGGGTACAAAAATAAAAACTCCTACCTGATATTTTGGTGCATTGTTACACTGGGGGAAGTTTCCGTTGACCTCCCCGTTGTGAAGCAGGTTGTTGTCCACCAGGTTCCAGCCCCAGCTCTGGTCATCGCTGCCCAGCAGGGCCAAGTAGCCCTGGCACTGCATGGACGCCCGCTTGGTGGCCAGGCCGATCACTGCCACGGTACCAAGAGGGCCTTCCCACCAGATCTCCCAGGCGTGCCGCCCTTCCGTAAAGCCAATTTTACCTCGTGCACCATCCGTGCTCTGGGCGATAGGGTTGCGGTGCAGGGTGAAGCCGTTCTTCTTCACGTAAACATTGCGGGAGCAGTCGTGGGAGCTCAGAGCATACTGGTAGGCCTTGAGCTGTAGTGGACAGACATTGAGGTAGGAGAGAGTCTGATGTTAATGGCATTACAGTGGTGCAAACATATTAAAATATAAACACACAAGCATACTTCATAACATCATATTTTAGAATGTGTAGGGTGCTACAGTTAAAAAGGAAAGTCCAAAACATATCCTGTACCTAGATGCTTGCATCAAAGTAGTACTTTAGCTTTAGTACATACTGTGTTGCATTAGTGTTGGTTTTGGAGCTCAAAGTACATGATTATGGCAACTATCACTATTTGAGATGAATTGATCAATATCTTCAGATTAAAGCCTCAATCTAATATTTGTTTTGGATTTTTCATTGTCAAGTGTAGCAAGTGATTTACAGCAGCTTCATTGGTCACACAATCAAATCCATAGGTTTCCATTGACATATTGAATCATTTAATATATCAACATGTTATTCTACATACTCTAAAATAGGGTTTCACTATCATTTGATATGTTTGGTCTTCCATAGAGTACATAGATTTACGCAATATAATAGTAAACAATAACAGTGACCTCACTATTGGGCCCTGTAATAAAAAAGGTTTCCATGACCTAATGAGAGCGAATGACAACAAAACACAAAGGATTTAGACATTTAAATCCCTACATCAGACCTTAAATAGGAATATGCACGTTGGATTTCGGTTTTCAGTAAACATACACTTTAATTTTAAGTGAACCACATTATCAGCAACGCTACGTGAAGGTGTTTGCAAAACAAAGGTAGCACCAGATAGGCAGATTTGATCAATCAAGGTTTTCCCAGCCCGAGAGAACAACGGCATATATTGAACCTACTTTCCCCCTGTAGGTCGGCAGGTTGCACAGGATGTCAGATCGCATAGATTCATCGCTTAAAGACCGGTTGCAGAGGCTGCGCCACACCTCGCTGTTTTCATCCGCCAGGATATTGTTCCAATGCCAGCACACCAAAGTGCAACGCATTAAGTCGGAGAGCTCCAAATACGAGAAAACATGCTCCAGGACCCGAGCTGGTAATCTCCCGGCCACCCCTGCGCCTCCTCCGGCTGCAGCAGCGTAGGGAGAGCCGGCGGAGCTGCAACTGGCTGCCGCTGCTGCGCCCTGACAGGAGGAGCCTCCTCCTCCACCGGCCGCTCCAGACATTGTGCCCCTGCTCTTTAACGACTAAACCAGTCGACCGAATAGTTTCACCTGACAACGTAAAATGGTTCCTAATATAACTTAAATAGCACCATTTTACCTATAAAATCGCACTCAGGTCGCAATGAAACTACAACCGTACTCTTCCCAGTTCAATGGCTGAATGGAAACGATGCGTCAAGGTCCTTGAAGAGCAAAAATAAATCATTCTAATGCTGTTAAAAAAACATGACATTTAAGTGATATGGGCGATGTTTACCTAAAGTGTTAAGGGAAATCGTCAGATCAGGTATTTAGGAGTTATCAGATAAAGGGAATAATTTCACAAAATAAAATATATTGTATGTGTCTTCAAGGACCATTGAGTAGACACAATAATAAGCTCGCGGAGAATTGCAACAATGTTGCAGTTATGTTTATTGTACATTATATTATTGCAAGAACAACGTATTGCGACTGTGTCGAACACAACAACTGCGTAAAGGTACCATATTAAATATGAACCGCATTGCTTTGCAAATTGTATCTGTGGCCGGTTACGTCATTTTATTTTTGATAATTAACCCTGTTAGAGATTGTGCTTGCATTGAGGAACATTTGGGGAAAAAACACATTATTGCATAGAGACGAAAACAAATACACATTGCAATAAGAACACAATTGAACTGATAAAGCAAATGTGTTTTATATTCAAGAGATTTTCACATACCACGTGACACTACACGGAAGTGACGCGTATGCTCAAAAGAGTTCAGTAAAGCATCTGGGAGCAAAACACCAGCTAGCGTAAAATTTCACATTTTACACCAGAAGACCGAAGGAAAAAACCACCATACGTTCAGAGCAGTTAACAGTAAGTTATTGTTGGTTTTTAACTGGATAAGAATATGTGTTTTCTGTAGTGTTGGGACAGGAATTACTGCAGAGCACAGCTGTCGGGCTGCCTGCCTCCTGTGCTATGCGGCCTGTTGACAAGCTGCCCCATCTGGCTGCTGTCCGGGGACAGTCCGATGTTTTTCTGCGGTCAGACAGGTGATTAGCAGGTCAGGCTATACACCATGACCAACCTGCAATGGTTAACATGCGTGGCTAACGGCGGGTCGTGCCGCTAATAAGGCTTGTGAGCCGAGCTAGCTAATGATAACAAAGCCCCGCTACGTTCACCTTTCGAAATTCTTCTACTTAAAGGTTGCCATCTTTATTTTTGCAGGCAATGCATCTAACATCACATGAAAAAACACAAACACATCTTTATTAGCAATGCCTACTGGAAGGAACATCGTTCTTATAACCAATCAGCATTTTGTAAAAAATAAGAAAAATACATATCAATTTAGTATTGCGTCACACTCGCTCATTGGTTTTGGTGGTAGGAAAGAACACCACGATCTTTATAGCTGACATTTTCCTGGTCACAGTTTTGCATGTCTTTTCAATTTGTAGATAGGATGATAGAGATTGTTGTACACTATGAGGTTATATTTATCCTTGCGGTTTCCATAAAAAAAACTCTGACTTTAAAATAGATTCGAGTTTGTAGTAACCTCTCATTGACTGTGCAAATATTGTTCTCTGTCTAAATGGTTGTGTCATGGTTTTAGTTTTACCTTCATATTAAATGAAATGAAGTATTAACGTAGTGCGTTCTTCACTGATGGAATTGTCCTTGGATCAGCAGACTTGCAAAGTGATGTAATGTTATTGGGATCACCACTAGAGGGCAACACTGAGTGCTTTTCTTTTTTTAACTAATGAGCATCATGTGAAGTCAGGGCTTCCTCTGGTAATGGACGTTTTAAAACTTCTGCTACGCAAATTTGACATTTTAATGAATACATGTATAGGATTGTGTTTTACTACATGTAACAAAATGTGTATTATAGGAGGTATATTTAAGATGTTCTGTTTAGGCCGTTGTACAACATTACAGATAAATAACAGTGACAGAAAACAATAATGCCAAGCTTTTTATGTGCTGGAAATGTTTTGAGACATAATAGATAAAGACATATTTTGTGTCACTATGACCTGTGAAGGTCATATCACATTATCAATGCACCAGCAGTCCTCACTGTTCTCTTCACCAGATAATATCATATCCATACACACATTATCATTTATTTAACCATTGCAGTCCCTAAAATGTCATGACTTGTCTGTGCTAAGTGTTGGCATATGGACGAGCCACTTGGCACCAGCAGCATCAGGGGAATGTCAACATTTCAGCATGCCTTTGCTTGATCTGTTTAACCTACAGATTAAACTGTGATGCTTTTTGAACAGCCTTGATGGTGAACAGCTTTACCTGATTCATGCATCTGTGCTATATTTACCCAGATGATCTTTCCTTTTATTTTTGTGTTATTTTTTGTCTATCTCTGAAAATCATGTTCTATGCTTCTTTTATTGCAGCATCTGTGTCCATTATGAATCCGGTTTACAACCCTGCAGCAGCAGGGGTCCCATTTACCAATACTAAGGGTATGGCATACCCAGGTAATTTCATTTGCTGTGTGTAATTTTTTAAACAAACATCTTCACTTCACAAAAATATCCAGGAATCAAGAACATTTTCAATGATTGACTTTCTGATCTCTTTTTGGTTATGGTAGCTGGATTCCCTGTTGGCTATGCAACAGCAGCTCCTCCATACAATCCCAATATCTATGCAGGAGGAAACCCAGCCTTCCCCAGCGGTAAGAACATGTTATTACTGCGTGTATGACATAAGCTAATGGAGATTTGACAAGTCAGTGCTAGAGCAAGGATTTGATCGTGTTGTATGTAGGTCACACCCACTTACTGTAAGTGACACTACATTGAATTATCATCAGTAACTTAAATGTCTTCCTCCCACCCAGGCTATGCTCCAGGCACTCCTTTCAAAATGTCCTGCTCTCCCAACAATGGGACTGTCCCACCTTACTCCTCCTCACCCAACCCATACCAAGCTGCTATGTACCCGGTCAGGAGCACCTACCCCCAACAGAACCCCTATGCACAGGTCAGTGTGTGTTTACATTTAGCTCTCGGTTATGGTGATATTGCTGCTTCAATGTATTTTCTGTCTGGTTTAAATGTATTTAAACTCCTGTTTGTTTGGAACTTTTGAATGTAACATGTTTTTTGTCTTCCAGCTAATACCTTCACAACAACAAGGCGCTTATTACACACAGCCCCTGTATGCTGCCCCGCCTCATGTTATCCATCACACTACAGTGGTCCAGCCGAATGGGATGCATGCAGCCATGTATACCCCCCAAATGCATCCTCAACGCCACAACAGCGTTGCCATGGGGATGGTAGCCGGCACCACCATGGCCATGTCAGCTGGTGAGCATCGATTAAAGGGTTGGTTGGTGTAAACATTTTCCAAACACCTGACTGGACCAGCAAACAGAGTTTTACCAATATGGGTCACACTTGATCAGCATTATGTCAACATTTAGTTCATAACGTTTGAAAAAAAAAAAAACCTACAGCTGGTTTGCATAAAATAAACCGTTTTTAGCTCGTACACCGGAAAGGATTGATTTAAAATAAAAATAAAAACTCTATTCCGTTTCAAACGTATAATTTAGCAGTAACAATATTTTGTAAAGATGCTACATTTGAAGTTATACCTCCTTGTGATTAAATCATAAATTTCAAGTTTTACACCAATATTTACACCTTCAGTAAATTTGGTCCCATTCTTCGTTGTGAAAATGTATATTTTATTATTGTATAAGACCTGTTTTCATTCCGTGGTCACTTTGCTTCTCAGGAACTTTGTTGACGACTCAATCACCAGCGTCTGTTAACCCTCACCAAGTCACGATGCCCACATATCGGCCCCCGGGCACACCTAGCTACAGCTATGTGCCCCCACAATGGTGAAGAGAGAGAAGCGTGAGTACATGCCATTAATATTTAACATGTTACCTTTCTGGCTTTACATTCTGCTCTCTGAAACCTTTCCAGAAAACACACATATAAAGTATTTCTGCATTTTGTTCTCTTCGCAGGTTAGAAGACAGTAGATATGCATTCACACTCTACGCCAGTGTTTTTTGCAATTGGTTTAGACCTGCTCTGCCAGTGTCTGCAACCAGTTACTCTTCTTCCAGCATAATGTGAATCTAAACCCAAATACATAGAAAGAGGCCCATTTGGATAGTCGGGGGTGCAGAATAGGCCCATCCCCATGACCCCTCTCAATGGAATAAGGCTGCATTCCATGTCAAACCCCAGCGCCAGCACCTCTTCAACCTGCTGCATATCTCACATCCAACAGCAATGCCTCCATGCAAACTTTTTTGTGGACTGTCATGCAGGGTTTTTTAGCTTAAAAAAATCTTAAGTGGTAAAAAGGGAGTTTGGAATAGTTTTTGTGTTTCTTTCAATTTGGGGGATATATATGATGTTGAATGCATGTGTATACATAGATATATGAAGTAATGCTAGCGCAATCTACCTGCTGTGACAGATGCAAAATCAACAAAAGGCACATCCAAAGGAACTAAAAAAAAGTAATAATCTGCAATGCTGAATCACCAGTGACCATTTATTACATGTGAAAGAATGAAAGAAACGTGTATTCATGCAAAAACATACCTGCACAAAGAAGTGCAGACCAAACTGTACTATTTTCACTGCTATGTGTTTTGGTAAGTACGGCTAGGTTTTTATTATTTCTCTGTCATGCAGTTCAAGCATTTTGTCTTACCATTTTTGTATTTTAGGAAAAGATAGGACTTTTTAAGTGTCGCAATGGCCATCAGTCAAAAACTCAACCATTCTGAGTATTTTATTTTTCCTGCTATATCCAGGAGTATCAACTTTCCAAAAGTGTCAAGCAGCTTTTCTTCCTTTTTTTTGGGGTGATACTTTTACAATTATTCACTTATTTTAGCCAGAAACACTCTTTTTGTGAGGAACAAGTAGAGGAAGTTGTTAGAAATCATTTGCACCCATGTGTATGTGTGTGGTGTGTGTGTGTGTGTGTGTGTGTGTGTGTGTGTGTGTGTGTGTGTGTGTGTGTGTGGTTGTGTGTGTGTGTGTGTGTGTGTGTGTGTGTTGTGTGTGTGTGTGTGTGTGTGTGTGTGTGTGTGTGTGTTGTGTGTGTGTGTGTGTGTGTGTGTGTGTGTGTGTGTGTGTGTGTTAAAATAGAAACCATTAAAAATGGTGCCATATATTGCAACGCGCCTAGAATATTCGACCTACATCTCACAATACTCAATTTGTTCTTAGGTAGGTCTAAAGCACTACATAAAATCACTGCTAACTGTGGACATGTAAGAAAAAAAATTATCTTGTTAAACTTCATTTGTGATTAGCACTACTGAAGGCACTAATTCAAAACAGTAAAGATATCTGACCTTTTACATTGCTCGCTGTTTTACCTCAAGGTTTCAGGCTAACCACCAATATCACTGTTTCAGACATGCTTTTATATGTTGCCTCAGTCACCTCGGTTAAATAATCTGTTTTGTAAATGTTATTTTTGTGATTTTGGTTCTTGTTTTGTATTATAAAGAAAGACCAAAAATAAAACAAATATAAGAATAATCTTTGTTTCCTTTTGTGTCATTCACTTCTTGGTCCTAAAAAGTACCTTGCTGGCAGATATACTGTATAGTGGTAAGAGTTACCCAAAAAAGGTTGTGAATAAAAATAAATGTTTACACGGTAGTAATAACACAACCTTTTTCTTCAAACTATAGGCTACAGGTGACATATGATATTAGCTGTTAAAAGAACACAGCAAATGTTGCTTATACAGCTGGGGCAGCCAATTAGAATGAGGGTGGAGTAATGCTTCTCGACAACCACAGACAAACGCCCTCAATGCTCTACTGTACATTACAACAGCTATTAAAGAATAAGATGCACATACTGTTAACATTCATTTACATATACAACAATAATTAAAATATATATGTTTATTACGGGGTTCCTACATATAAAAAAACCCATACAAGTGCTCATTGTTTGAGCTATCGATAGTAGTATTAGTACTAGTATTAGTGGTTTAAACCGATTTGAACGGCAGGGGGCGCCAAATATTCCAGATCAGTAAAAGAAGAAAAAGAAAGGAGAAGAAGACTTCCCAGCATGCAATGCGGCGCGCGATTTGGGATTTGTTTTGGTGTTGCAAACATGAGAGTACTGCACAACATAACGTAAATGTAACGAGTTAGCCTCAAAGTGTAGTCCCCTATAAACAGATACGTGTTCATTGGACTCATGTAAGTTTTGTTCATTTAAATGTGGCAGTGTTTCGTGTTGTGTGGTATGTTTAACTTCAAGGCTAGTAATGGGTTTTCTGTTGTAAAATATAATAATAGCGAGTGACAAGTATACATGTGGATTTAAGCTAACCTTTTAGCTAACTTTAAGTTGACGTTACCACCTATGCTTTGTAACCAACTATTTGTAATGCTCTCCATGTATTGTCACTCAAGGAAACAAGATGCTATCGAGTATACAGTAGTAAAGTTACTTAGTGTTTAACACAGAGAGACCAACATGTTTGCACATTGAAACATAAATTAATATAGAATACTAGATAAAGATATTTCTTTTCAGGTAGTAGGGTGTGCTTTAGCAGTGAATGGAGGATGAGCAGCTCAGGACAGAGCAGCGGGACATCAGCTGACCTCTTTGAAGACTTATGGAGGCAGCTCAGAGAGTGCCAACAGAATGCATTACAAGGTAACTATTCAGCCATTATGTTAAGTGTTGCCTCTATCATCCCTGTAGGTAACTATAAAGACAGATACTAAAGTTACATCTTTCAAAGTTTATTTCTTGTGTCACACTCTTCAACATTGCATTTTTTGCTGTTTTTAGAACTTGAGGCAAAAGTGACCAAGTTGAAAAAGGAGCACTATTTGTGAGTATAACAACTAATTAACTAATAATGAGGATGAAAATAACATCAGTAGTTTTAACCCTGGCTTTAAACCATCATGTGAGACTGGTCGCTTTAAATACAGTCCTGTCTTCAGAAGCTAACTGTCATTGCTTTTGTTTTTTCTTCAGAGATGCTCAGAGACTTGAGGTGTTTCACAGTCGCACCCAGCAGCTAAAGGAGCACAACAAAACCCTCCAGGATGCCATCATCCTCCTGGAGGAAAGGTAACTTCCCCCACAACAGGTAACCTTTATTCAAAACTGTTTGAAACAAAGACCAGGAACTTAAAAAAAACAAAACGATTTACAGGCTCCGTGAAGGAGGGTGTGATCGTTGTGCCATCTTAAAGGAGGACATGAAAAATAACCAGGATCAGAATTTACGACTCATCGCCAAACTGAGTGAGTTAAATAATGATTCCTATTATTCCAGTCAGATAGAAAAACCTACTGTTTTAAAGTAGGGATCTGTGTCTTCAGGAGGTCTGGAATGTATTTCGACTGTACCAGTGTACCACAGCATATTGCTAGTTGCCTGGCAAAGAGCATACTATTTTTAATAGTGAGGTAGCATCTGTGTAACACCTTGGAGTTCTGCTTTTCACCAGAGAATGAAAGAAACAGCCTCGAGGATGAAAACAGAAAACAACATGCTGAACTGCAAAAATTAAAGATTTCTTGGTAAGCTCATTATTATGTTACAGTCATGTTTTGTCAACATGTTCTCTTTGACATAGTCAGTGTTAAAATAAATGAAATGTTCTTTTATCAGCTACCCAAGATAACTATACATACTGTAGGTAATTTGATCATACTGGTTCCACTTCTGCTTTGATTGAGCCAGGTGAACTGAGTTTTGAAGCAGATAAAGCATTTACAATAAAGTTTCAGTTCCCAGTTAAACATTGCAGGTGTTGTTTTTTTAACAGCTCAGCGCCGGAGCAAGTTAACTCCCCAGAACAAGAAGAAGACGTCATCCCAGACTCACCTATTATGGCAAGCTCGCTGCCTGTAGCAAATAAGCTGAAGAAACGAAAGAATATCGACAGAATTAAGCATGTCCGCTATGCAGAGATGCCTCTACCAAAGGCTAACAACTCTCTCTTCAGCGGTCAGTCTGCCTTTTGAAGTTACTTTCAACATGTCTAATGCCCCTTTAATCTAAATCTCCTGTCTGAAGGCCCCACATCTTCTAATGTGTTTTCTTTTTTAAAGCACTGGATAAGGAGCATGTTGATGCTGTGACGAATCCTGGAAGAGCACAAGTTCTTGTACCCAACACATGTGAACTGGACACAACAGAAATATCAAGTATGGCTCTATCCAATTTAAAAAAGAAAATTAAAATAAGAAATATCATACAGAAGGACTACTTTTGGTTTTCTAAGAGAACAAGAATTGAAACCCTATTTATTTCCTCCCATTAGAAAATATCTCTTACTTGAAGTCGTAGATTAGCACGTGGCAACATTGTCTACGCAAACACACCCATCACATCAGCGTGATTCACCCGACGGGCTGCACAGAGAGAGGCATTGCTGTTCATTTGATTGCAAAGTCTCAATTCGGTCCTCTTTACACGGAGGAATTAATGAGAACTGAAAAGTATAATATAAACCACCTCTTGCATAGTTATCTGTTTGAAATGAGGCATCATATATTTGCAGAGATGGTACACATGATAATACTTTTGCTTTTTATGTTCTTGTCTGGTAGCATTTCTTTAATTTTAAGTTTAAAAAATAACAATTTAGGTTCCAAAGTTGAAGATCTATTCTGAGATTTGTAAAGGTGTTGTTGGGTCTTTTTTTCAGATGATGTGAATGTAAATCTGGAAGACGCTATAGCAGAAACCTGCGGCCTTGAACTAGTTCACAAGCCTCGCATGGTAGGTAGGCTTCATACTGGTGAATAGTCTTTGTCAAAGAGACTTCCCAGAATATGCCCTTTGTAAGTGAATCATTCTATTTTATTCAATACCAATACAGCTTATTAATAACATCCCATTTCTTTCCTTTTTCTCAGAAAAACCAGACGACTGAAGGCCAGCAAAGCAGCTCAAAATGTCCCCGGAAGTATGCCGTTCATTTAAAGTAAGAGGACAACAGATATTACAGCAAATTGGCCAACTATCCCATCAAAATCATAACTTGTTAGTTCTGACTTTTGCAACTTTGGCTTGTAAAAAAAAACACTGTCCAACCTGTCAATTATCTTATAACACATTATTATAACACAAACATATTTGTTTTCCTGCCTTAAGAACTTACCGCTCCGCCCCTTCTTCCACGCTGCTCCACAGTCCAGACTCCACGTCAGAAAGGTCTCCGTCGCTTCTCCCATGTGTCAAAAGGTTTTCAGAGGAAGGCTCCGTTAACAAAGCAAAACGGAAAAAGGAGGAAAGTGTTCTGCAAGAGAAAGACCAACAAGGAAACCAGGAAGGGGCCGACAAACAGAATGGAGGCAAACTAACTTCCACGCCTTTGAGCAATCAAAGCTTTAAGCAGGGGCTGCGCGACAGCAAGGTTAGAGAGATGTCCAAAGGCTTGTATGTATGTATGTGTGTGTTGGGATAAGTAGGATTAAACATTTCCTCCATGTGGTTTTTAAATGTCATGTGATTTTCTTTCTTTCAGTCAGGACAAAATGGGACTTTCAACCAAAAGCCAAATGTTTCCTGTTTGAGTCCTGTTTTCAAGAAGCCAGATGCTAAAGGAGAAGCAAACAAGGACAGTGTTAGAAGGAATGGAAAACCTCAGCAGGATCTGAAGGCCTCACATAACCGACCTGAAGGAAAAGATGGTGAGTTCTGTCCTGTTTCTGGCAGTGTTCAGTTTGCATTTCATAATTTTCTTTTTGTATAATTTCAGGTATTTCTTTATAATCACTTGTATTCAATGTGAGCTCGATCTGTTTCTGCTCTCACAGGGGAAAGGAAGATTAAAGTGGAGCCCATGTGGAGCATGGACCCTGCTCTCACCCGGTCCATGTATGACAGTGAGTGGAGAGGAGATGAGGTACCTGTGACCACTGTTTGCTACAACATTCTGTGATCAGTACACTGTATGTCATGACTTTTCGTCCTCTTATAAACATTCTAAGAGGGAAAACGTTCAATAGGAAATCATTGTAACATTCAGATGGATATATTAGTTAAATGGTGTCTCTCTGCTTATCTGCATCTTATATTTTAGCCAAAGGAAGAGGAGGAAGAGTGTCCTGCAGATTTGGTCGATACTGACCGCACTTGGGTCAGTCACAGCCTTCTCCTGGGGCGGGGAGAAAATGCTCAGGACAGAAGAGACAGTGTGTCTGGTGAATACAAACCGTAGCTTTTATAATCATTGCTTACCAACCAATGTTTTGATTGACAGCTTATCTACAGGATTTAACAATCAAATGGGCTGTAATGACAATTAAATAACATGTCAGTCTCTTTTTCCAGGACTAGGAGAGAAGGCAAATGACAGTTTGGATATGATGTTTGACACCACAGCTTGCGGGGAGTACAACTCTCGCTTAGGCCGGAGCCAGCCCTGTGGTGGTGATGATGAAGAGGATGAAGAAGAAGGAGAAGAGGAGGAGGATGATGGTAGGATTTCATATTTTAAAAACGGTTCAATATTGATTATCAGATCCTAAATGTAACTTGTGTTCCTGTCCTTGTTTTACTCTCCAAGATCCTCATGAAAACACTATGAGCCAAATAAGCAGGCGTAAAGCACGGTAAGAAACTCTGTGCTAGACTTACAGTCTTCAATGTAGGAGAATTCATTTTTTATTTCCAACAATCTTTATTTGATATTTTTAAGAGGTCCAGCGTTTGCACACATGGCTGTGGTCCGCAAGAAAGACGAGAGAAGAAAACTGAAGGGCACTACCTGCAAGGAATGTGACGTTGTAAGTGTTTTGATCACCAAGCTGAGTAACAATGACATGTTTTATCACTGCTCCTTTGTTAAAGATGTTTATGTCCAACAGTATTACGCCCATCTCCCAGAGGATGAAAAGGAAAAAAAGTTATCAGCATGCTCGAGACACCGCTTTCTGTACATTCCTCCTTGTACTCCTGAAAACTTCTGGGAAGTCGGATTCCCATCAACTCAAACCTGCATTGATCGAGGTAATTTCACTCTTTACCTGTTTAGTTAAACCCTCCATTTAACAGAAAGTGTTAAGGATAGCAGGACATTTAACACTTTCCCTGCAGGGGTCATACATTGTCATTTTTCACAATGTCTTCATTGGTACAAAATCCCATGATTATGCATAAAAATACATATCTAAGACAAATCATTTCCTCATAGGTTATATAAAGGAAGACAAGAATCCCCAGGCTCGTACTCGGAGAAGACAACCCTACAATGCTTTATTCTCCCCCCTAAAGCAAAACCAGGAAGAAAGCTAAACAACAAAAGTATGTTTGCCTCCCTAAAATAACTCTTTCAATTGTTCAATTTTCAGAAAAGGCTCATTACTGTATACAAATTGAGCTAAGGGTACAATGGATCTGTTTTATACAGTGATCTTATTAAGAAAGTTGACACCTTGTCATCTTTTCTTTTTCTATTTAAATTCTTTGTCGCAAGTGTTTTCTATATGTATAGACTGTTTGAGTGGCTTATGTGTATTGGAGGTTCTTAAGATAGTGACTGAGTATGTTTTGGGTACGTTTGGATAAATAAAAATGACTATATCTGGAGTGAGGTCAAATGTGCCAAGTTATTCCAAGTAATCCATTTTGATTCAGCAAATGCTGCCGTTCCAATTTGTGTTAATAGGAATGTTTTGCAAAGTAAGAGCACGGAGAAGGCACTATATATATATATATATATATATATATATATATATATATATATAAAGATATTTGATTTGGTGAGCAGATTGTCAGTGCATAGAGAAGTTACAAAAATAAGTTTCATTTTGATAGAAAACAATGTCTTTGGCCGCAGCTGAAATGTTCTTATTTATCACATCTGA